CCTACCAGGTCAAGGTGAATGTGACTGAAATGCGCATAAGGCGTGGCTAAAGTGCCTATTGGAGATGCAGTATATCGATCAATGCTGGCTTGTTGGCATGGAAGACAAGATCATGTCCAAAGGCAACCATCCAGTTGATGTTGTGCCAGATGAATCGGTTAGCGAATGATTTCACTGTCATCCGAAGTTCTGGGTGGGATAGACCATGAAGAACGTTGAAGACCTGTCTTCGCAAAGTTGCTGAGATAAAGGGACGTTCGTGTCCGGTGGAAATGTCATAAGTCGTGGTACCAGCTCCGATGGGAAGATGAAAATCCCGTAGAATTAAAGAAGAGTTTATTATCGTGGGCGCACCATAATGGCAAACCCAAACGATAAGGATGGCCGCTGTGACGGATTTTGTGTCCTGCTGCTGTAGAGGGATGGCTTCGTACCACTTTGTAAAATATTCGATCATTACAAGTATGAATCGGTTACCGCTACGCGTAGTTGGATATGATCCGATTATGTCTACACTGATCCGGAGATTAAGTCCGCCTACGGCAATAGGGTGTAATGCAACCCGTGGTGCAAAAATCGGCGGATTTATCTGAGAGCAGACTTCGCACAAATTACAGATAAACACCACATCCCGATGGACAGTCCACCAAAAAACGGCTGCAAACGGCTGCTTCTGTCTTTCATTGGCCCGAGTGTCCGAGTTGATTATGAATGTTGCGAATGGTACCTTGTACTTTCGTCCTCGGCATAATGGGTCACGATGGTTTGCCAGTGGCATTTATTACGAAGAATATATTATTATCTGGATGATGACTGGCTGATGATGGCTAACAAGCCAGAAATGGCCATTCCCGTCTCTTCTTGCTTTGTTAGATCCATTTAATCATAGTCACCATGTGAGGGACTGGCGGGTTCACGCTGTGAGCGCCTGTGCAAAGCGGAACATAATTGTTCCTCTACTAGATCGGCGAAACAAATACATTCATCATATTCCCGATCTCAACCGGCAAAGCAAGGAGCCCGTGGACTAGTGGTAGAGTATTGAACTCAATGACCAATGGTCCCGGGTTAATATCTCGGGTTTCCAACGCTTGAGACTGGGTATGACTGGCTGATAACCGATAAAAGGCCAGAAATGGCCACCCCGGTCTCCCTTTGCTTTGTCGGATCCATTTCACATTACTATCTAGTCACAATCTGGCCCACCCCGTCCAAAATGCTTCCGCAGTGACTGATTTATCTCTCATTTCTGTACCGGTCGGTTTCCGGGGCCAACGCCTTGGCTTCCTTACTGTTGTTGTCCTTTTATGAAGGAAAAAGGGCGAGTGTCCTCTGCAGTGAAACCTTTTGAAACAATTAATACGTCCGAGGGATAAGTGAACAGTAATGAAGAACGGTATGGAAAGACGGAGAACGGTAATTGTGGCACCGGAGGGAGTGACGTACGTAACCATTGAGGGAAAACGGGGTAGATGTCAAAGGGAACAGTAAGGAGGACACAAGTAAAAGCAATAATGGAAAAGACAAAGTTAGGGTAAAGGGGCAAGGGAGAAACAAAAAAGAGCCAAATTTTGAGTGACTAAGGAATTACAGGAGTGAAGGTCATAACTGGGGTATTAATGGGAACCGTAAGGAAGTGAAAGATATAACCGTCAGACCAA